TTGAAAAACCATAAACGGCGCGTTGGAACGATATACGTACGACGAAAACTGCCGTGCTCATAAAACATTCGTAAAGACGAACATTGTAAACAACAATTCACTAGAGAGAAGAGGGTCGAACTTCCAAGTTTTCCCCGTGCCCACCTATGCAGACGATAGCTTATTGCATTGGGAGATTGTTGTCAACAATGACAAACGTAACATCGCGAAAGGCATCTTTATAAGTTCACATTTTATGCCATCTTTCAATTGTCACAAATCTCGGGGGGTTGATGTGCACATCTTAGATTTTAGGTAACTCCAGAATAAGAAGTCTGTCGGGCATAGGAGAATCGTGGTGGCAACGAAATTGCAATGTTACAGGTCATGACGCTATCTTGAAATAATGCACACGTTCAAAATTTGCAATTCCAATAAAACCTGTTTTTCCTCTCCCCTCTGTTGCGTTGTCATCGGTTTCTTATTAATGCTCTTATTTGCAAATATTTTATGCCTGCAGTTTTTGTCATTTATGGCTTTTCAAGGAGTTGATGAATTTGCGCAGGAAGAAAGCGCGTGTTGCCACTCTAAAATTCCGAATTTTTTTCTCTGTAACCGTAACTGTGAGAGCTCTGTTGTTTTCACATATTGGCATACCTTCAAATAAAAATATTTGAAACTTCATTTCGATTGGCTGAGCGCATAGGCCGCTAGAGTTTTATATATAGGAGAAGATATAAGATAATATCTAATATCTGAAATGGAGCAAGGATTGATCCTTGATCTTAAGTTTCTCAGCTGGGTATGGTGATGACTCTGAAAAAGACTGCATTTAATGTGTGTTTGATGATATGCATTTAAACTTCAACTGAGCACCGTTTAAACGTCTTTCAAGGTACAGTTACAAAAACGACGCGTTAACAAGAAAAACGAAATTTTAATTTAAGCGATATGGTATATGTATATTTTATCAGCGGAATTTTGATGCTAATGTCATATTCGTACGATTACATAAATCTAACAGTCTAGTTCTTCTTACAGTCTATTTAAAATATCAGCTACATTTTAAAAATTTAATATTTCTTTTTTCTAACAGGAAGTCTTCAAATATATACACAATTTTAAATATTATTTAAAGAAATAATATGGATTATTTTCTTCATTTCGCTTTTCCATCTTGTACAAAAAACGCTTTTTTTTCCGGGAAAATTCTAACCACAGATATAAATTGCAATTGTTTTCTTACAGAAAAATTCTTCCAGCTTTCATGACTTACCGTTTGATGTTGATCTTGAAACAAAACACTAAAGACCTAGTTCTTGGAAAATTTCCTCACTATTATCCCAACAACAACAACAAAAACGCATTCCTAAAATGCAATGCATTGTATCTTCAATATCATACCGAATCGATTTAAACTTTTCTTTTACACTCTATTATTTAAATGCTCATTCATATTTTTATTCTATTCTTGAATTACGCCTAGCTCTATCGTCAACACATTGGAGCCATAGTTACGTATATTCCTCTAAAATAATACACATCCCAGGAGACTCTGGTTTTCTTAATCTATAACCCAGTGTTTCATCATCAATTTCGCTGTCGATGGTTTTGCTGGTTCTATATCTGTGAAATCTCTTTTGATGAAAGGAATTTAACTTTTTCTGTTTCACTAGAGGCCAAGCAAGAGAGGTCGTACGCAGCCTCAATTACTTTATTTTCTCCGGATATTTTTTAGTTCAGGGTTGCGATCTGCGAGTAGAATCAATATCTTCTAATAGAACATTTATAAATTCTTCAATGTGTCCATGTCTCGAGGTTGCAGCAAAGGCGCCTATCGCGTGGGAAAAAATTTCATTTAAACCGTTCAAAAGGGAATAGGTTGTGGATGTAACGTTCAGTTTTGTCTTTTGACTGCTTTTTTCTCTTTTTTCACTTATTTTCTAAATGTTTCCAGAATCACCAAGGTTCTTTTATTTGCTGCGTGCCACAAGGACAAGATTTATACAATTTAAAATGCCTTTTGCACTTTTGGTGTAACTAGAATTATTATCATTTCTTCTCATACGTAAGAAAACGTAAGAAACGTAAGAAACTACGTAAGAAACTACGTAAGAAAAACGTAAAGAAACTACGTAAGAAAAGATTAGTCAGGTGATCTTTACTTTTCTTGATTTCCTTACACCGATCTCGCTTAAAGGCTTCATACACGTAATATGGTAAAAGACACCGGTTTCATTAGACTTCTTATGTACAGTATTGAGTAAAATGACTTTCGGCAAATTGCTTCTTCTTTCTCAATTTTGTAAAAAACAATTGTTTTTGGTTTTATACAGGAACACCCAGTTTTACCCCTAATGTTTCTACATTTGTCAATCCCGTTTTATTGTTAAATTATGTTGAATATCAGTGTTGTCTTTTAATAACTGTCCAGACATTTTAGAAGCATAAGCGGAGAGGAAAAGTAGTGTTCGAATTTTATATTGTTATGAAATTATACGAAGGCAAGTCTCCCTACGGCAAACGACTGGTTACCAGATTTCCTTACGTGTTCTGTTCCCTCAAACGATCGTCCTTTACACCACCGAGAAGCCGAGCAATAAAGTCTTTGAGGGTTAGTAGTTCGGCTCGGGTTTCAAATCTCCGCAAACAGGATTACTGTTTGAGTGTTTTCGTGGTTTTCCCCATGTATAACGTACAGTTAGTCACAAAAGTCTGCGTACAGACTAAATTTGAAATTAAGAAAACACTTAAAGCATAGAAAAATGTATTTTAATCATTGCATTTTTTTCTTCTATTAGCTAAAATTGTAAGCTTAAGTAAAAAGTAAATAATATCAGTGTAATACTTTTTACATTTTTTCAAAAATATATTTTGTCAAAAGAACTCAGAAATTCCTTCCAATAAGTCTGCGTACACTTTCAAAAAAAAAAAGCAAAATGTAAGTTTTTTACATTACTTCAATACTTTGTAGGATATCCTTTATTCTTCAAAACAGCTTGCAGACATCTGGGCATTGACTGAACTAGTTTTTCAGTATCATCCGACGTAAATTTCGCCCATTCTTCCTGCAGTTTACTAATTAGCTCATTTCGCGACGTAATATTGTGTTTTCGAATTCGTTTATCCAATTTTTCCCACAAATGTTCGATTGGATTGAGGTCTGCTGACTGTGGAGGAGTACGCAACTGTATTGGAGTGTGATAGAGGAGATATTCCTTCACAATTTTAGCTGTATGTTTGGGTCGTTGTCTTGTTGGAAAATAAAGGTATTAGAGAGGTTTAAATTTCGGGCACTGTCACGTAGATTTTTCTTCAGAATATCCATATAAACATACTTATCCATGATTTTATCAATAATGTGAAAATTTTCAACTCCTTTCGACGACATACACCCCCATACTATCACACCGCCAGCTCCATGTTTGACAGTTGGATTTAAATTTCTCAGATTCAGTTCTGTTCTTGGTTTTCTCCATACAATAGAGTGGCCATTAACTTTAAATATTGTAAATTTACTTTCATCTGACCAAATTATATTGTTCCAGAAGTCCTGCGAAGAGTTTAAATGTGTTTTGGCAAAAGCAATTCTTTTCTTTCTATTTGTCTCGAAAATGTATGGCTTAGACCTAGGTTTGCGTCCATGATAATCGACCTTTCGCAGCACTTTTCGTACAGTTTCAAGAGAAATTTCCTTGTTGCTAGTTAAAAAATGTCTTTTGCAATGCTTGCAGCAGAAAATTTAGGATTTTGTTTAATTCGTAAGAGAGTTTTTCTTTCTTCTCTCTGCGTTAGCTTCTTCGGTCTCCCACATCTTGGTTTTACAGCAAGACTACCAGTGTCAAAATAGTTTTGAATAACTCTTTGCAAACTAGAAAATGGTTTTCCAATGGTTTTACCAATATAACGAAGAGTTTTACCTTCACCTCCCAATTTGATAATTATTTGTCTCGTAGCTAAAGGAATTTCTTTATTGGATGTCATTTTCGTCAAAGAAAATAGAAATAACAACTTCCAATCAACGTGAAATTCGCTTCGGAAGTCAATGACCTTGAAAGTGTAACCTTCTCTGCATTCTCAAGTTTGAAGTTTAAAAGTTAGATAAAAAATCCCCCGCCTCCTTCGCGTAGTACGCAAACTTTATTGGCTTTGATTTCTCGCCACTTATCTTTTAAAAATTAGTGTGCATAAATTATTAGATATGAAAATATTACAGTTAAATAATTTCAAAGTCCCTTATTGAAACTAAATATTTAAAAAATAAAACTTTAAGAAACTACCTTTTTCGCACCTTAAAATTTGGATTTGATGTTACTTTTCTTGATGTACGCAGACTTTATTGGCTAACTGTATATATGAGCGAGTTTCCTTGAGAGAGTCTTCCAAGAAGGCACGCCTTCTCTGAAACAGATAGCTCTCGAGTGTTTTGATGTTATTTTTTAAAAAACAAACCAAACAAATGCTTTCCTCCAGCAAATGGTTAATAACTTTACTCTTATAGTTTTCCCTTCGAGAAATATTTTCAGTCGGAATCTCGTAAGAAAGGAAAGTTCAGGAAAAATTTAAATAGTATGCATGTTTCACATTAAAGTATTTTATACATCATTTCTAATATATCTGAATTTTTCAAGTATAATTTTTTTACAGTATAAAATTTTAAATTAAAGCCTGAAATATAAAATTTATTGGGAACGTTTTAGTAAATGGAATAACAATTATAAAAAGTTACGGTACTACTACGCTGTTTTTTAAAAGATTTTTAAAAACTTCGCCTTTGTATGCGATGTTTAAACAAATTGCCTGCGTCACTTCAAACATCAATTATCGTTCCCAATAAACCTGAACATAAATAGCCAAAAGATACAAGGATAAAGAATTCAAACTGTTTGTCTGCCTTCCTGAAGTTTCACTTTTCTTTCCATAAATACGCAACATAAGACATTAAAATTATCTATTTCATGTTGCAGTTTTTCTTTAAATTTATTTGCATTGATCACCTTATTTTCTTTCTTTTTATTTAGGATTTGCAGTATGGAAGACGACCGAATATGCCTCTTCTGCAAGAATAAAAATGCTTCTACAGAAATTAAAAATAACTTCTAAAAGTTTTTTTAATTTGTTATTCAATCTCATGTTAACGAAAATTTTTTAATTTATTTCCTACTTGACAAGTGTTTCCAAAATATGCAATAATAAAGCATCTAAAAAAAAAATTCGCATGAAAATTTTCATTTAATTTTATTACTTACTCTCTACAAACGCGGCCAATAGCCTAAAATAGTTATTATCAAAGGAAAAAAATATCCAACTAGTGCCATTTTGGGAGTTCAGCTAGTAATTACTAATACCTGCGATAAAGAACTATGCTTATTGCTTTTATATCTCTTAGTATCTGTCAGTCAGTAACACACAGATAAAATGTGAAAGAAAAGTTAAATATCTTACTCTTTGCTGAACGGCAATGTACTGCCGAGTGAAAGATCAAAATATTTTAATTCCGGCAGGGGCAACACACTTATCTTAAATTTCGATGTTTGTTGATGAAATTCAAAAGAAAAATAAATATATTGCGTTTTGCCAATATGCGAATGTTTTTTTTTATTATTATTATTTTTTTTATATCGTTGTGTTTTCTGATTAAATTTCAAACATATATATCTCACATTTTCTGATTGGTAAAACAAAGCTTTTAAATTTCTAAGCTTTTAAGCAAAAGCTCATTAAATTAGCCCTAAATGAGAAATGAGTAAAAAAACAAATGCGTAAACCAAAATTCGGGCTTCGAAGTGCGGATCTTCGAGTGGAGAACTGCGTGTGTTCAAAATTTGATGCTTCCGAGCGCTGCCGCTTTGCTACAATGCGAAAAACCTACAGTCAAACTGCATATATATGCGGATTATTCATTATGTTATAATAGAGAATATGGATATACAACAAAATTGCTATTTATTACTTCTTCAACAACTGCTTTCCTGTGTGCAGTTTTCGCTGTTTTTGGCCCGGAAAAATTCGAAATGAACAACATTATTTAGACACATTTCCTTCTTTCCCCAAACTATAATTTCTGCATTCACAGTTTGCAAATCTTGTTTCTAGTGCAACATTTTTCACTTAGTATAATTTGTTTTGAAACGATCCACGTATTAATTAAGCTGGAAGAGAAACACACTAATACAAAAATTTAAATTAGGCAAAACAAGCTCGGTTGGCCATAGACTTTGAACAAAACTCTAGTTCCATCATCTACTCGAGGCGAAAAAAATAATAAGGGATTCCAATGCGATTAGAAACATCCGTTTTCTTCAGCAACAGCAAAATAAGCTTTTGGTCTGAGGGGTTCAATATTTGAGTTCCCGTTCTATCTGCGGTTCATGGATCGAACTCCATCGAGTAATATATAAAAATAAAGAGGAAATATATAAAGATCAAGTAAGGCTCCAAGCGAAGTTTGAGAAAGTCCTTCGGAAAAGTTAAATATGAAGTATAATCGGGATAATTACATACTTCAAGGTATAGTATACTGCAACGTATTGTCGAGCTGATGATACACTAAGAGAAATTCAATAAAAAGCTAGTAACAAAAACGTACCATGAAATATTTACAACAAAGAACACCTTATTTACACTATGAAAAATAGGAGAAATTACGCATACAAATTATGAATATTTACAGGAATTAATTACTATTGACAGTAGTATCTCCGCTAAAGATATCTCAGAAAATGTTTCATTACATTGCATGAAAATTAAGCAATAATTATACAAAAACTATGTCAAGTAATATATTTTGTCAATGGGAGTAGACGTGCGCAAATTTCAACCATAAATCCGGCTACTGTTCAGATAACGAATAGAATACTCTAAAATATACTGTTAACTTCCCTAAAAGCTTTAAATTAGGAAAATGGACCCATACTCAAACACTCAAATAATTAAGTTTATATATGTCCAAGAAATATTTACCTCAGTAAACTAATTTAGCTAAGGCCTTATAGGAGCATCACGTGAATAACAATCTGGTGAGGTCCCCTAACCAGCAGATGAGTAAGAACGGGAAGACCTTTGTCTCATGAGACAAGCAACTATCAGGTCATGGCAAAATGGGCTGCAACTTCCAACTTCAACTGTATGCCGCGATTACAGTTGCCCCCGGACTACATGTAGTCCGGCTCCTATAAGTAACTGTTTCAATGAGAGTCTAAAGATAAAATGATTCTGCGCATTTAGTTAAGTGGAGGGTCAACTTTGAACGTAAGGAAAAGGATGTGACCATTCATCTCGTGGAGTTGATATAGATAATATTCAAGATTGGTCATGAGGAATAAGCAAACTGGGAGGAACAATAACCTTACTCATATTGGAAGCAAAGGGCGGCAACGTAAACATTAAACTGACATCTGTCGGCGAAAATAGTAATAAAACATGTTAAAGTAAGTCATCAGCATTCTAAAAACGTTACGAATGACAGCATTTGAATTAATTTCCTTAACTAAAAGAAGTAAATTGTTGTGACTGTGGCGAGTTTAAGGCAAATTCAATTCATCAACAAAAGGAGCTTTATGGATAATTTTTGCGGAACCGAAGTCTAAATTGCGATTAAGTTTCTAAAAAGATTTATTTATTTCTCCCAAGAATCGGAAACAAAATTGGCTGTTCAGTGCATATAGAAATAACAAAACCTTGTTCATTCAGTTGACTCGGACACATAAAATGTAAAATTGTATATTCAAAGCTGAACGGACAGCCATTCAAACGGCACTTCAAATATCAGCTGGAAAATCTGCACATTAAAAGAGACAGCCGGTCTGTAGCTGGAAATCAGATCCAACGAAAGACATTTTGCCAACGGGCAATCTCTGCAGGTGTTGAATTTTGCTTTCTAAAGCCTCCCTAAATTCAAAACAATTTACCTCTTCCAAGCCTCTGCTGTCCAGCTCCTAAATTATAAACATTTTGCCATCCCTTAATTTTGCTGCTCTGTTCTACTCTAAATTTTAAAATATTTCCTGCCGCTAATTTCTACCGCCAGTGCAGCCGCACCAGTTATGCTGGCACTGACGATAATTCGAATTACGAAGAGAGCATCGTACATTGTAATGCTCTTATTAAATATTTTTTTTACAAAAATTTAGCTATTAATTTGGCTTTTACTTATTTAACTACACATTATGCCATATACGTTACATGAAGTAGAAGAACTTCAGGTTATTTTCCTCAAGAAGGAAGAAATTTTACATTAGGAGGACCATTACTTCAGTGGCATTACAGATTTACATACAATTCTCATACATGATCTGCATTATCAGCCAAACAAATATACACATGTTTTGAATTTTGTGTATATGTAAAAAACTCTTAGGTAAAATTACATGTAAATTATTATATATTTCGCATAATGTAACATTAAAAAACTCAGAATTGGAAACTTTTCCGGAAAAACAGGATTACAGGGGAAAGTCAATTTAGCAAATGGCTAAGAGCAAAGCTGGAAATGGTTTTGACGACTCCTTTTTGCTGCCAAATTTGACGAGAAATCGCGCACAGTCACCACTCCTGGCGACCATTGGGTGACATACTGGTCTGATCCCGGCGTCACTGCAGTTGACCTGATCCCTGCGTAACTGCTTAACCCCCTATGGAAATAGAAACGTGTATGCCTTCCAGAAATTTCGAGAAACAGAAGATATCGGAAATTTCTGGCGGAGAGGGAAAATTATATAAGACAGGAGAGAGCAGTAATTTTGAGTTTAATTTAAAATTTATGTTAGAGTATTGAGAGATCACTGACAGGCGTGAGATGTCCAAGAATGGGGATAATGCGTGTTATACGTCGAAAAATACGGTATGTATATATAAATATATATATATACTATAAAACTGAATATGATATTACATGTAAGGAGTTAAACACAATTCCTAATCTTGGTTCAGTAAGAACAGGCTTAATAGTTAGAAGTAATTTGATGCAGAAAAATTTACAAATCCTGATCCAATGGGAGAAATGTATGGCATTCATAGATGTCAATGGGAATTTCTCCCATTGACATCTATGAATTATCAACATCTATGAATGCTGCACAAAATGAAAGTTACAAAAATGTACAAAATAAGGAATTTAAAGCATTGATATGATGTAGATTACTCATAGCTCAAGGTCATGGTTCAAAAGAAAAATACAAGAATACAAACTGCTGTTGTACATACTTTTAAGAGTGCACATACAGGCTTGGAATCATTTGGTCCCAAAGCATAAGTAGCCCTATCAGCAGCTGTAAACAAGACATTGTGTCTCAACAAGATGTCCCCCAAAATGAAAATCGCCAGCTAGTACAGAGCACTCATTGCACTCACTCCTTTGTGAGTGTACAGTGCACTCACAAATATTTACCTCAGTAAACTAATTTAGCTAAGGCCTTATAGGCGTGTACTGCTCGGTACTGCTCTGTGACAAAGCGTGTACTGCTCTGTGAGCGTGATGTTGATGTGTAGAACTAAGAAACTACTCGTGACTTCCATGTCGTGAGCTATGCGGCCGACCTTCAGCCGCTTCTCCTTAGTTTAAAATGTAAGCTTTAATTTAGTTCACATGACAATGCAACATGGTGAAGAATTTCTTTTTACAAAATTCGATTTAGATTCCTTTTTATTTAATGTTTAAACGATTTTTCGCTCATATTAGAATTTTATTTTCTACGCCATCGGATACAAAAGAAAAAATCTTTTTAATGAAACTTGTACGGAAATTGTATTTTAATTTCTGAATTTTTGAAAAACGGTCGATTTCTTAGATTATTTGACATTTATGATTTTAAAATTTCAACATCAAAAATTGCATTGATTATAAATAAATTTCGATATATTTACAGATTATAAAAAGAATTTTTCGCTCTCTTTTAAAAGAAGAATGATAAAAAAAATATTTATCGATGGATGCTTTTCATTTTTTAAAAATGTGTTGCAGTTTGAAGCACATGGAGCGAAAAAACTGCTTTTGAATTATCCATATTAGCACACTTAATGACAAATAGCTTTTCCCATTTCTAGTTTCAAGTAAAGTGCTCGTTGTAATATTTGTACTACATCCAGTTTCTGAGAGTTAATATTCAAAGACAGCAAAGTTAATCATATCAAAGGGTAAAGCAAAGTTAATCATATCAAAAGGTATATGATATGATTCGCGTCACGGACACAGAGAGTGACGGTCGAATGGCTACGAGCTCTCAGCTTTACAGCGACTTTGTTAAAAACACGAATTCGGCGCCGTCAGCGAGCAATTCTACTTCTGATGTCAACCAGCTATTACATGCTACAACTTCTATTACCGATATGGACACTACTGCACCACCTCAGCGATTTCCTTCATCTGAGGATATCTCTAGAAATGCGATTCAAATTTATGCTCTCAAAAATCGTCATACCAATCTGATGTTCAATATTGAACGTCTGATGAGAACTGAGAATCCAAACAAGGAGGCCATGCTCAAGCAACTGAACCAAGAGGGTGAGAAGCTTTTGTGCTCCTTGCAAACCTTGTGTACGAGCCTTAACTTGAACATTTTTAACGTTTAACTGTGTTAAGGCAGCCTCGAGTTTGCCAGGTCTGAGTGCTTCTTCCTCCTAGCAGACTGTTGTATTTGACCGAAAGCTATAACCAGGGCAGGAGTTCGTCTTTGGTGTTCTCTTCTGTCTTATCAGAACGTGAAAATACGTGATGCCGATGCGTATGTAAGTGTAGACGCATTCGACAAATTGCTTAATCCTTATTTTGTGTGTATTGTTGCAATCATAGTAATTTGTTCAAAATTTATCTTTTTTTTTTTTTTTTTTTTTTTTTTTTTTTTTTTTTTTTTTTTTTTTGTGATTTCTTGTTGTTATTGTTATTCTACATAAAAAAAAGGGTAAGTATAGTTACATATTATGTTAAACTTAGATTAACTTTTTTAATCGGAAAAGCAACGTTTTGAGCATAATTACTCGAAACCTGTGTACCTCCCATGTTTGTAACATTGCCGTATTCTTGGTCTCGTAAATTACTAATATCTAACCCATTTTCCTCAAATGTCTTTAATAAGAATGCTGTTTGTCCTTCACCGGTCATATCTGTTGTAACACAAAATACTAAAAGCCTTTGTTCATTACTTTCATGTCTATATTTTCTAAATTAACATACCCATGCAAACCGATATCTGCTCTTGATGGCTGGCATCAGGGGTACAATCAAGTAAAATAGAAATATACTTTGCCTGTTTGACCTTGATAATTTGCTTTATATTATCCCCTAATAAGCTAATTGTTTCATTTTGAATTTTATCTCCACGGTAGTGAGGAGTATTTTTTTAGTTTGAATTTTATTAATGTATGCAAACACGACAGGGTCAGATTTTGTGATCGTTTCTATACACTTTAAAAAATTATTATTTCTTTCGAATAATTTGTTACTGTAACCAAGTAAGGCTAAGTTTTGTTTGGCTAAAAACTGAATGGCATAGATAATTCTTGCAATAACATCGCACCAGTGCTTAGTCTCTTTTTTAATAAATTTTGAAATTCCAAATCAACAGGTTTATTCGTTTTCAATCGTTCTAAGAAATCAGACCAAAGAAGCAGATTCCGGAAATGCGTTTTATTTTTTTTCATGCAGTTTTAAGTGCTCATTTAAGTGGTTCTAGTCATTAAATTCAGAAGTACTCAATTTTACGTTGCTGAAACTGTTAAAAATTTTGCAACAAAATCAATAAACAGAATTTTTTTCAGTAGAATTTAGCAACCAATCCCTTTTAACTCTTCCGTTGTTTAGCAAGATTCGACAAAAGTACATCTAAAAAACATTTACTTCCATTTTTGTCTCTTGGAAAGCTAAAACTGGAAACTAGGTTTTCATAAGATCAAGGACCATTTTCTATTAAGACTTAAACTTGGGATTTCAACAATGGGCTTGGGCATAATTCGGAATCATCAGGCACAGGCAAATGAGTATCTACTTCAGAAATTGTATATTTCACTAGCATTTCTTGTGTTTTTCGACCGGCTGCGTTAAATTCCCGGGTGAAAA